TTGTTGTTGTTGTTCCACTATGTGTAAACCTTTCCTAGACTTTTATAAGAGTGGACTTATACAATAATGGTCCTTTGTGTAATTGACTTATTTCACTCAGCATAATGTCTTTCAGGTTCATCCACACTATGAGGTGTTTAATGGGCCTAACATTGCGTAGTACTCCCTGGTGTGTATGCACACAGTTTGTTTATCCATTCATCTGTTGAATGGCACTTATTTTGTTTCCATCTCTTTGGTATTGTGAATGATGCTGCAACAAACATGGGTGTACATACATCTCTCTGTGTCTCAGATACATACCTAATAGTGGGATTCCATGATCAAATGGTATTCCTAGTTCCAACTTTTTAAGAAAGCATGATACAGTTTTCCAGAATGGTTGCACCATATTTTAGCCCCACCAGAAGTGTATGGGAACCAATCTCTCCACACCCTCGCCAGCATGTATTTATTGTTTCTTACCTTATTGAATTTTTCTATTATTTGGGGGGTGAGATGATACCAAATCATTGTTTTGATTTGCATCTCTGTGAGTCCTAGTGTGGTGCTGTAGGATAAAGCATTAGATTGCAAGGTCAGTTTGAACCACAAGGCTGGTGGTTCAAACTCACCAGCTAGCTGTTCTGTGGAAACCTTTTACAGGGTTGCTATGAGTCACAATTGACTCAATGGCACTTAACAACAACAAAAACATGGCTAATGATAAGGAGCATTTCTTCATGTGTTTGTTGGCTACCTAAATGTCTTCTTTGTTGAAGTATCTACTCATGTCCACTGTCCATTATTTAATTAGATTGTCATTTTTACCTTTCTAAAGAAGCCAATTCAGTCTTTTCCTAGTCAAAGTGTTAATGTTCAAATTATAATGAAGGCAAAAATCAGAATTTCTAAACTAGATGAAGAATTGCTTTGTTGTTGTTAAGTACCCTTGAGTCAGTTCTGACACATAGTGACTCTGTATAGGGTTTCCAAGGAGCAGCTGGTGGGTTTGAACTGCCGACCTTGTGATTCACCGTCCAGTGCTGATTCTACAGCACCAAACCAGAATTTATTGTTGTTGTTGTTGTTGTGTACCATGGAGTCAGTTCCGACTCATAGCGACCTTGCACAGGATTTCCGAGGCTATAAATCTTTACAGGAGCAGAAAGCCTCATCTTTCTCCAGCGGAATGGCTGGTAGTTTCGAACTGCCAACCTTGAGGTTAGCAGCCCAATTCATAACCACTAGAATTTTTCAGTGTTTGTTAAAGTTGCTATCTCACCTCTTGCTAATCACCAGGTGATGTGTCTAAGCCATCAGCAACTCCCTTTATCCAGGTAAACAATATTTTACATTTCAAATGCTTCAGATTAGAGTTGATACAATATGCTTTTCTTAAGCAAATAAATACATTTTACATTTTAAACTTCAACTAGAATTTACCTGACTGGAGTCCTAGTGTGGTGCTGTGGGTAAATGTGCTGGACTGCAAGGTTGGTTTGAACCAGAAGGTCAGCTGTTCAAGCTCACTGGCTACTTCTCGGAAACCCTATAGAGGGTGCTGCTATGAGTCTGAACTGACTGGGCAGCACTTAACAACAAAAACAACATAGTCCATTTACAAGGCCTCCATATCAAAATGTTTACAGAATGTGCTTTAGAAATAATTGCCTTAGTTGAATTGTATCAGGAGAAAAGGAATTAATGTATGGCTAGGAACTGCTGTCTGTAGGGGTTCTGGTAGCGTGGTGGTTATGAGTCAGGCTGCTAACCTCAGGGTCAGCAGTTCAAAACTACCAGCTGTTCCATGGGAGAAAGATGAGGCTGAACATATTCTTCCCTTCTGTTTTCTTACTCCAAGCCTTGGCAAATTTAATTATAATAGTTGACTTTGTCTTCTTGTGTTGCCCTTTGAAATTTTCTGTTCAGCTCTTTTACTTCCTCATTTCTTCCATTTGCTTTAGCTTCTCTGTGCTCACAAAGGAGCTCTGGTAGCATAGTGGTTACGAATTGGATTGTTAACCTCAAGGTCAGCAGTTCAAAACTACCAGCTGTTCTGCAGGAGAAAGATGAGGCGTTCTGCTCCCATAAAGATTTATAGCCTCAGAAACCCTGTACAGGGTTGCTATGAGTCAGAACTGACTCCATGGCACACTACCACCACCATGCTCACAAGCAAGTTTCAATTTCTTTTGACAACCATTTTGATCTTTTCCTTTGTTCATGAAATGCAATTAATCCTTCAGTTTAATATTTTGCTTTCATTTCTAACAGAAAGTCAGTCTAGTGTTTTCATTAAGACAGCTGGAATTGATCCTCAGTTTTTATTAGTTTCCCCGGTGATTGTTGTTGTTAAGTGCCGTCGAGTTGGTGCCAACTCATAAGAACCCCGCATAGAGTTGCCAAGGAGCAGCTGGCAGGTTTGAACTGATGCCCTTGTGGTTTGCAGTCCAGTGCTTATCCTACAGTGCTACACCAGGAGTTCCTAGTGATTGGCTAATTCAAGAATGAAAGCTCCAAATTTCATTGAGCCCTGAATGCCTTCTCACTCGTGGGTGAGCAGTCATACAGAAACAGTACAGGCAGGTGTGCGATGAAGGGGTGCACCTGGTCCATGTTACTTACATCAGCACTGAAGGGTCACTGCTCTGCCTGCTCAGGTGGTAGGAAATGGCTACCAAGAGGCCACAGAAGGCTGAAAACAACGCCGGGATGTGTTGCGTGCTCCAGGGCTCCTACAGAAAAGACATCAAAGAACCCGGTCACTAGTGTCTGTCTGTAGAGTAGCAGGACTCAAACGCTTAGTTTCGCAGCCTCGACATCCGGCTAGATGTAGCTTTCCCATTACCTCTCCAGTCAGTGGACAGAGTGGAATCTGGGGCCAGCATCATCCATCACTGCCTATTCGTGTACCAATGTTGAATTTGACAAGGATGGCCATGGGGGACGCTTTCAAAATAACTGCACACGTTTGTGTCAATGTTTATTTGATCTTTCCTGAAGTTAAACACCTTAGGATTTTTGTAAGCATTATAGCATATGTCCCCTTTTAAAATTTAATATAACACTTGACAGTGATTGTAAGAATTGTGTTTCTTGTTGTTGGTAGCTGCCATAGAGCCACAGCTGATGGTAACACATGTGCAATGGAACGAAATTCTCTTCAGTCCTTTCCCAGCCCTGGTCAGTTACAGATGGGGCAACTGAAAACATTTGTAGGGTTTTCATTGGCTGCTTTTTTTTAGAAGTTGATTTCCAGGCCTTTTTACTTACTCTATTTTAGTCTGGAAGCTCCACCAAAATCTGCTTAGCATTTACTGACAGATTAGGACTGGCTGGGAATTGGGCCAGGGTCTCCCACAACTTAACTGTTTAAAAAAATGTAAAATAGCCTAAGAGATCAAATAGACTGGAGGACTAAAATAAAGTTTGGAGAAGATAAAACAAAAACAGTCATCCTGAAGAAAGATGAGAGAAACCTAAAAGAAGAAAAGCAAGATACTTTAGGTTTCATCTGATGGAAGCACACATGCTAATATTCAACAAACTACCATCAGCATGAAAAACCAGACACACAAAATGAGTGTTCCCACTTGGAGAAGCATGGAAACCTTGAACCCTGCTCTCATGGTCTCTTAGCATTCTCACTGACAAACACACGTCTTTCAGCTACAAAGAGCACTTCTATACAGTTAGTCTTTCAAGCACCATCAGCAGAATCAGTTTCTGCCATCCCAAGCTGAATTTATTCAAGGACTTAAATATTCTCTCAAGATTTTGATCCCTTAACTCACCAAGTGTTTTATTTAGGAAGGATGAGCTGTCATATGTGTTTTAAATCAAACATACCGAAAGATGAGTCAAGAGTGCTAATATTATATTCATAACTGCTAAGATACATTGGAAAAACAAGTGTTACACTTGGAAGAGTTAGTGATTTTATTTTTATTTTCTAGAAATTAATATTCTCTATTTGTTGTTAAATGTCCCCAGAGTGAATGTCTGGGAGCCTGGGAGAGCAGCATCTGGAAGAAGAGTAAAGGATGCTAGCCTTCTCCCAGTCTGCTAGACATACCTGACTCTCATGCAACATGGCAGGTTGGTCTCACCTACCCTACCTGTGCAGCCCAGCCTCTCAGAAGGGCCATCCTGCATCCTGGCACTCAGCTTAGATCTTCCTATACCCAGCACAGTAATTTTTCAAGGTCTTCAAAGCAGCATGACTGTGTTCATTATTTTTCTGATTCTGTGTAGATGTCTTCTCCACCAATTTTGCTGAGAAGTTGCAGTCAGTCATAAAAGGCTCTGCTCATCTTTTCTCTTTTTTGGATTTTCTTTCAACAACCTTTTCCCCTCCTGTGTCTAAGAAAGCAGTTCACTTCCTCCTTTTCAGGGCCAACTTTCTCCTCATACCCATGATTTCAGCCTCTTATTACACACACACACACACACACACACAAATGGTTTTTGCATTGACTTCACTTGATGATTATCCCGTGTGTGTTAGAGCAGAACTGTGCTCCATAGGGCTTTCAATGGCTGGGTTTTCACAAGTAGATCCTCGGGCCTTTGTTCCTAGGTGCTGCTGAGTGGACTTGAACCTCCAATTTTTCATTTAGCAAGTGAGTACTTAACCAGTACAACACCGAGGAACACGTCTTATTCCACAGATACCATCTTTTCTTTTTTAATTAAATTTTTTTTTGGAATATTTTATTCCAGTTTAGGGGAATGTTTACAGAATACATTAGTTTCTACTTCAACAATTTACACATATTTTGTTTCTGGGCATTAGTTGTAATCCCTAGCACTCTTCCCACTCCCTGTGTTCCCAGTTTTCATTCATCCATCTTCCTGTCCCTTTCTGCCTTCTATTTTTTCTCATGAATGCTGTCCTTTCGGTCTGATATGGTTGTTATTCTTAGGAGTGTGTTCCTTAGATGGGTGCTATTGTTCACTTTATAGGCCTGCCTCCTGTTTGGGTAAAAGGTGTTGCCCTGGAGGTGTATTTGGTTTCAGGTTTGATGGGTGTTTAAGGGCCAGAGTCTGAGTGGCCCCACCCATCTTCATCAAAACACTAAGTTGAGGGAACAAACAAGATGGCGGATGGGGTGGA